GACAAAAAGTGTCAGAGCAGTGACCCGTCAAAAACAAAAAAGTAGCCGTCATCACGGTTATTCATATCTTTTCGCGATAACCTTAGTCCTTGTAGGAAAGTGCTGGAACAGTGTCATTAAATTTTCTTCGTCCTTTGAATCACCTTACACGATATTACGCTGTAGGGTTAACTAAAGAGCTCGAAATTGACTATATTTGTTACTCCAACTATAAATACATTAAACCAATTATGTTCTTACAAATTAACTAAAAAATGATCAAGGTGTCTTTCCGAACGTACTAGATATAACAGTTGTACCTTGCTTGACTCATCACCATAGCAACTTTGTATAATTTGAAACTATGCAAATTAAATAACGTTATATAACCTACAAATAACGTATTCCCATACAGAGTATCCTTGTCAGATGATGCAAACATTAAGTTACCAAAGTTTTGAAACTTTAGTTTGTACCACCATCCCTTCATGCATGTCTGTTCACACACTATACTCGTTGTTCTGTGAATATACTTACCTTCACTCAAAAATTGTGTACTATATCAATGGAAGATGAGATTCAAAACTCCCTTACAGCACTAAAGCTATAGTCTAGACTAGACTATAGTGCTTTCCTGAGCACAAGGGCTATCTTGTATTTCTTTTAAACGAAACTATCAAACATGGGTGGCATAGCTCCACAAATGACTGCACTTTACAAGATGAGCTGCAGTGAAAATTTCATTTTGCGGAGAATATTCTAGGTTAAGAAACTTCTATCAGACTACATGGCACTATAAACAAGAATACACCCCATCTCTGTACTTAGTCATGAAAACCTCAATTTGTATTTTCAATATGCTCTTGCTTCTATTTTAAATATATACGGCACAGCATGTACTCCAGTTATTTACATGCTTTTGACCTACTATGCAGCACAAATTCAGTTCTCTGTTAACAATACACCATCGAGCCATTACAAACTCAACTATATACAATGTTAAAGTAAGGAATAAGAACTGTCTTCACTGAGCAACTTCCAACCTTTCATGTTTCCAAAATGATTTTGGACAAAAAAAATGGCATTTAAGGATACTGAAGTACCTTCTATTGCTGAATTTCCACAGTTGAAGGACTGAATCCTTTTAGGTGTTATTGTACCTGCAGTCTGCTGCATAGCACTGAATTTAATGGAATGTTTTAACATTTTCATGTCAAACCTATAATTTAGATAGATTTAC